TCCAAATTGCCCCAAAACACCCTGAATTTGCCCCAAATCCCCTCCATCCCATAATTCCCCTCAGGGCATGGCGTACCTGCACTCTTTGCGGTTCATCCACCGGGACCTGGCGGCGCGGAACGTCCTCCTGGAGAACGAGAGCCGGGTGAAAATCGGGGATTTCGGATTGGCCAAAGCCGTGCCCGAGGGCAGCGAGTACTACAGGGTCAGGGACGAGGGGGAGAGCCCCGTGTTCTGGTGAGAAATTGGGATTAAATATTGGGATTTGGGGTTAAATATTGGGATTGGGATTGGGATTGGGGTCAGGGAGGAGGGGGAGAGTCCCGTGTTCTGGTGAGATTGGGATTAAATATTGGGATTTGGGGTTAAATATTGGGATTGGAATTAACTGGGATTGGGATTGGGATGGGATTGGGATTGGGATTGGGATTGGGATTGGGATTGGGATTGGGATTGGGATTGGGATGGGTTGGGATTGGATTGGGATTGGGGTCAGGGACGAGGGGGAGAGTCCCATGTTCTGGTGAGATTAACTGGGATTGGGATTGGGATTAACTGGGATTAACTGGGATTGGGGTCAGGGAGGAGGGGGAGAGCCCCGTGTTCTGGTGAGAAATTGGGATTAAATATTGGGATTAACTGGGATTAACTGGGTTTGGGATTAACTGGGATTAACTGGGATTGACTGGGATTGACTGGGATTGACTGGGATTGACTGGGATTGACTGGGATTGACTGGGATTAACTGGGATTGGGTCAGGGACGAGGGGGAGAGCCCCATGCTCTGGTGAGAAATTGGGATTGGGATCTATGATTTGGGACTCGGGGTTCAGGATCTGTGATTTGGGATCCGTGATTTGGGATCTGGGATTTGGGATTTGGGATCTGGGATTTGGGATCCCTGATTTTGGATCTGTGATTTGGGATTTGGGATTTGAGATTCGGGGTTCAGGATTTCTGATTCGTGAATCCCTGATCTGTGATCTGTGATTTGGGATTCAGCATCCCTGATTTGGGATCTGGGTAAGGGATTTGGTGTTTGGGATCCCTGTTTTAGGATCTGTAATCTATGATTTGGGGTTCAGGATTCAGGATTTGTGATTTGTGATCCCTGATTTGGGATCTGTGATTTGGGGTTCGGGGTTCAGGATTTGGGGTTTTGGATCCCTGATTTGGGATTTAGGATTTGTGATTTGGGATTCAGGATCCCTGATTTGGGATCTGGGATTTGGGGTTTAGGATCCCTGATTTAGGATTTGTGATCTGTGATTTGTGATTTGGGATTCAGGATCTATGATTTGAGGTTTGGGATTTGGGATTTGTGATCCCTGATTTGGGATCTGTGATTTGGGGTTTGGGGTTCAGGATTTGGGGTTTTGGATCCGTGATTTGGGATTTGGGTTTCGGATCCGTGGTTTGGGATTCAGGATTTAGGATCTGTGATTTGGGATCTATGATTTGGGATTTGGGGTTCAGGATTCAGGATTTGGGATTTGTGATCTGTGATTTGGGATTTGGGGTTTAGGATCCCTGATTTGGGATTTGTGATTTGTGATCCCTGATTTAGGATCTGGGGTTCAGGATTTGGGGTTTAGGATCCCTGATTTAGGATTTTTGATTCCAGGTACGCCCCCGAGTGCCTCAAGGAGTGCAAATTCTTTTACTCCTCGGACGTTTGGTCCTTTGGGGTCACTCTGTACGAGCTCCTGACCCGCTGTGACCCCTCCTGCAGCCCCCCGGCCGTGAGTGCCCCAAATTATGGGAAATTCGGGAAAATTTGGGAATTTAAAAAAAAATTTGGG